TACAAAGCCACAGTAATCAAGACAATTTGGTACTGGCACAAGAACAGAGCCATAGATCAATGGAACAGAACAGAGAGCCCATATAAACGCACACACATATGGCCAATTAATATATGATAAAGGAGCCATGGATATACACTGGGGAAATGACAGCCTCTTCAACAACTGGTGTTAGCAAAACTGAACAGCTACATGTAAGAAAATGAAAACTGAATTATTGTCTAATTCCATACACAAAAGTAAACTCAAAATGGATCAAAGACTTGAATGTAAGTCATGAAACCATAAAAGTCTTAGAAGAGAACATAGGCAAAAATCTCTTGAATATATAGACATGAGCAACTTTTTCCTGAACACATCTCCTCGGGCAAGGGAAACAAAAGCAAAAATGAACAAATGGGACTATGTCAAACTAGAAAGCTTCTGTACAGCAAAGGAAATCAGTAGAACAAAAAGGTGTCCTACAGTATGGAAGAATATATTCATAAATGACATATCTGATAAGGGGTTAACATCCAAAATATATAAAGAGCTCACTTGCCTCAACACTCAAAAATCACATAATCAGATTTAAAAATGGGTGGTGGATCTAAACAGACACTTCTCCAAAGAAGAAATTCAAATGGCCAACAGGCATGTGAAAAGATGCTCCACATTGTTATTATCAGGAAAATGCAAATTAAAAACACAATGAGATATCACCTCACACCAGTTAGGATGGCCAGTATAGAAAAGACTAAGAACAACAAATGCTGGCAAGGATGTGGAGAAAGGGGAACCCTCCTACACTGCTGTTGGGAATGTAAGCTTGTTCAACCATTGTGGAGAGTAATATAGAGGTTCCTCAAAAAACTAAAAATAGAAATACCATTTGATCTGGGAATTCCACTCCTTGGAATTTACCCTAAGAATACAAGTTCTCAAATTCAAAAAGATATATGCACCCCTATGCTTTCTGCAGCACTATTTACAATAGCCAAGAAATGGAAGCAGCCTAAGTGTCCATCAGTAGATGAATGGAAAAAGAAGATATGGTACATATACACAATAGAATACTATTCAGCCATAAGAAACACATCCTACCATTTGCAACAACATGGATGGAGCTAGAGAGTATTATGCTCAGTGAAATAAGCCAGGCAGAGAAAGACAAATGCCAAATGATTTCCCTCATTTGTGGAGTATAACAATGAAGCAAAACTGAAGGAACAAAACAGCAGTGGACTCACAGACTCCAAGAAGAGATTAGCAGTTACCAAAGGGGAGGGGTGTGGGAGGGTGGATGGGGAGGGAGGGAGAAGGGGATTGAGGGGTATTGTTTAGTACACATGTTGTGGGGGGTCACGGGGAAGGCAGTGTGGCTCAGAGAAGGCAAATAGTGACTCTGTGGCATCTTACTATACTGATGGGCAGTGACTGCAATGGGGTATGGGTGGGGACTTGATAATATGGGTAAATGTAGTAACCACATTGTTTTTCATGTGAAACATTCATAAAACTGTATATCAATAATACCTTAATTTAAAAAAATGAAAATAGAGAACTATGGAGAAAATCAATTAAACCAAAACCTGGTTCTTTGAGAAAATCAATAAACTCCTAGCCACATAGTCAATCAGGAAAAAAAAGGAGAGGACACAAATTACCAACATCAAGAATGAGAGTGATGACATCACTACACACTCCACAGATATTTAAAAGATTATCAGGGACCTTTATGAAAATCTTTTTACCAAAAAATTCAACAACTTAGATGAAATGGACAAATTCTTTGAAAGACACAGACTCCAGAGTTCACTCAAGAAAAAATAAATAGACTGGTTATCTCTTTATTTGTTAAAGAAATCAAACTTGTAGTTTTAAAAGCTTTCCACAAACAACAATCTAGACCCAAATGACTTCACTGAGGAATTCTACCAAACATTTGAGGAATAAATAGTAACAAGTCTATGCAAATTCTTCCAGAAAATTGAAGAGGAAGTAATGCTTCCCAATCAGTCTTTAAGGCCAGCATAAGTGTAATACTAAAACCAAATGAAGGAAACTATAGACCAATATCACTCAAAAATAATAGAATTATTATAAAGCCACCATAAGCATTCAGTGTAGTATTAGCATCAAGGTAGACAAGTAAATCGATGGAACAGAATAAAAATTCCAGAAAGAAACCCATACCTATGGTAAATTGTTTCCAAAAACAAAGTAAAGGCTATTTGGTGGAGAAAGGCAAGTCTTTCCACAATGGTCTTGGATCATTTGGAGCATCAGAAAACAGACCAATGGGACAGAATAAAAAATCCAGAAATGTGAAGTGTACAGTTCCTCACACCACATGCCAAAATAAATTCCATATGGATCAGATATTTAAATGTAAAAAAAAATGAAACTATACAAGTATTAGAAGAAACCATGTCTGAATTCTTTTATAATTTGGAAGTGGGAAAAACCTTTGCAACTGTAATTCAAAATGCATAAGCAGAAAGAAAAAAAATAATCATTTGAACATATTCTACAAAAAAAACTTGTATATAGATGTGTGTGTGCATAATATTTTGCAGCTTATAACATAGACAAAGAATTGGCCCTAATGTATATATAGAGCTTCTAAATTTTTAAGAGAAAAAGATAAACAACTTCATAGAAATATGAGCAAAAAATATGAATATTTATAGAAAAACTTACAGAAAATGAAGTAGGAATACCTATTAAATGTATAAAAATATGTTCAATCACTGTCATATAAAAGGAAATGACAATTTAAAACTATAATGGAACACAATTTCTCACCTATCTGCTTGGCCAAAAATCCAAAAGTTTGACCGCAGACTCTGTTGAGGGAGCAATGAGGAAACTGCTCCTTCCCTATTTTGCAGTTAGAAATGCAAAATCATATAACTCAGAAGGAGATGAATTTGGCAAGATCCAGCAAAATTATATATTACATATACATATTACATAATTGCACATTTCCCACCAACAATCCCACTTTTAGACATTTTTCCCAGAGATACATAATATAAGTACAAGATGACTTATGCTTAGGCTTTTGATTATAACGCTATTTGTAAGAACGAAAAGGGAGCTGCTAAATAAGTTATGATACAGTCACACAATGCAGTTCTATCAGATATCCCACAGGATATCATTGAACAAGAAAAGCAAAATGTAGAACAGTGTGTGGCACACATTACCTTCTGTGTTAAGAAAAGTAGAAAATACAAGCATATAGATATTTGCTTATAATTTGTTAAAAAGAGAAATAAATCAAAGTATACTTTTAAAAATTTACTGATAGGGAGGGAGAGGACAGAGAGAAGAGACAGGGATTAAAGCTAACTTCTCTGAGTATACTTTGATGTTCTGGCTTTGTAAACACATGACCATTTAAAATAATTAATAAACAATTCAAAGTGAAAGAATTCCCAAATATCTAAATTACTGAATCTAAAATGAAACTAATAAACTAACTACATATTGATGGTTTAACCAAAGATAAATTATTTCAAGGAACTTTCAAACATAGATATTTAGCTTGGGTTCACCAAGAAGCAGATCCCGACCCAAGGATGTGAGTGCAAGGAGCCCCAGTGGGGGACCGGGGAAGTCAGACAGTCAATAAAGAGTATGTCATCAAGCTACTATCACTGTGGGCAACGGAGCTTAATCAGATGGGAGACTATCGGAAATAATGCAGAACATAAGCCTCAGGTTTATTATTCTTAAAAGATAAGGAGTTTGTGAAAATTATATGCCAACTCCCTCAGTCATTGATTAAGAGCTGCTCCCAGACTGTGTCAGATGCCCGGTAGTTCCAGTGTCCAAGCAATCTTACATAAAAGCAAACTTCTGAAAGAACTTTCAGGAAAAAGCATGCATCTACTGGCATTTGGAAGTACTCCTGAGGGCAGTGGAGTGGGTGAGCTCAAGGAGTCTGGGTCGGCCTTGGAGAGCGTATGCTACACACAGTAATTTTTTAAAATCAAGCCTGTATAGCCCCTGAAAAGTTTTTGTGCACTCCCAATACACATGTACTCTAAACTGAAGTCTACAGCAATACTTAGCAGTATCAAACATATTGGGAGGAGTTATACCTATGTGGAGGAAGATTTTTTTTTAGGGACAAATTTGTCATAGGTTCATAGAAAACGAAGCAAATACAAAGAATGAGCTCATGAAAAACTCCTGGGAAACCAAACCACTGTATAAGAAAAGAAATGTAATCATCATACATTATATGGTCCAATATCGAACAGTGCTCCTTTGATTATAATTATATAAATGCTGAACACTGATAAAATAAAAGATTTTGACGTGTCGATGCTGGGAGGATACAATGAGGGAAAGTGCAATGGCAGGTAGAGGGAGATGTAAGAGAGCTAACTCGTCATCTTCCATACTAGTAGGTCTACCCATCATACATGAAATTGAAAAGCAGAGAAACATTAGTACAGACATGTTATTTAGAAACACAGAGAGACCTGTCCAAAGAATCAGCTAAAATAGTTAAAACTTGGTCTGTAATTTTTGCAAGGAGAGGAAGCTAGGAGTCATATCTTATATGACTTTTTAAACACTGTACTTTTGGAAGAAGAGGAGGGAAGGAGGGAGGGCAAGTGACAAGGTCAGATCTGAATTTTGGCACGATCACCATGGTCTGGTTTCTGAGTGTGGGTTGGAAGGGTTCAAGCAGCAAAGTCAGTGAGGACAGTTGGCAAGCTGTTATGATAAAGAGAGTCATGCTAAAAACTACAAAAAGGGAAAAACTGGAGGTGAGAGCTTGTGGTGATAAGTCTAACTGGGTAAACCATCAGGGCAGGTATTTGTACTAGAGAGTAACCTGCCATCTTCATTTCTCTCTCTTCTCTCTCCACTCTCTCCACCTTCCCTTAATCAAGCTAAGCCCTCTCTTCCAGAGGTTTCTGGCCCCTCCAACAGGTTCAGCCCAGGTGAAGTAGTGAATTTCACCTGCACATCAACTGGCTTTTTTCCCAAAATCATAGATTTGAAATGGTTTGAAAATGGCGTGGAGCTTCCAGCCCTTCAGACCTTTGTCTTACCACCTGGAGATGCGTCCTCTTACACCATCGTCAGCACTACCTCCGTGACCCTTGCCTTATCATCACTCAGTGCCCAGATCACCTGCCATGTGGATCACAGTGAATTGCCAAGCCCTCTCAGTGGGCATGTGAACATCTCCAAATTCCTCCAAGGTAAGGAACTGGCCACGTGGCCAACCCTTGGTGACCACCACAGGTTCCCAGTTTGGACCATTTCCCAGCATCCTCCTGCTGATTCTTCATCCACCCCCATGTGAGGTGGGTATGAGTTCCCTGTCTCATATGCCCACATTTCCTATATCATGCAGGATTTGGTCCTTCTCTTTCAGAGCTCCCTTCGCTCTAGTATATTTGGGAGGTGGAAATTCATTCATTCATTCATTCATTCATTCATTCAACAAGTGCTTATTGAGCACCCACTATGTGGTGGTATTATTCTAAGTGCTGCAGATCCCACAGTAAGCAGAAAAGACCTGGTCCTGCCTCCCTGAGTTCAGTCATGTGAACCAAGATGCAAACAGCTATATTGCTGTGACTTGTAACATTTCATATGAGGTAAAAGAACAGAGTGCAGAAAGGGATGAAAACAGGAAGCATCTAGTTTACTCAGGAAATACTTTTATGAAGAAGTGATGTTTGAGCCAAAGCACAAAAGATGCGAAAAGTCAGTGTTCCAGACAGAGGAAGCAGGGTGTGCAAAGGCCCCATGATTAGGGGATAGGTGGGGAGCAGAGACATATTTAAACAGCAGAAATGAGGCTCTGTTTTGTGAAGTGAGGAAATCAAGGCCCAGAGAAGTGGAATGACTTGTCCATGGTCACATGGCTCTTAAGTATGTGAGGTACAATTTGAATCCAGCAATACATCTCTTCAGATGACCATGTCTGACCTCCCTCCTGTAAGAACTCCCCATGCAGAAATACAAGAGAAAGGCATAGGTCACCCTCCGCAAGAGAAGTGGTTCAATCATGATTGGCCTGAAGATGGTATTGTGCTGCTCTCCCCACTTTCTCCAAACCCTGGGCTCCACTTCCTTCCTTATATCGGTGAAGAGCCTCTCCATCAACCTCCTCATCTAAGCTGTAGACTTGATCTTACCCAGTCATTACCAAGTTCTGTCAAATTCATATCCCAAATCTCTTCTGTACCCATAGGTTTCTCTCTACTGTCATCACCCAAGTTAATACCAAGTTCAAGCCCACATCATCTCTTACCTGGATGCAACAGCCACCTCTCTCAAAGCCACCATTACCCTCAACTGTCCATCCCCTAAATCCCCAGCAGCCAAAGGCAGTTTATAAAGGAAGCCAGCTTCATGTCCCTCCTTTGCTTAAAGTCCTTCAGTGGCTTATCACTGCTCTTACAAAAAAAGAAACAAAATCCTTTCTGGGATGTTCAACAGTGATTTTTGAGCAGTTTTATTCATATACCCTAAAATAATTATGATGAACTACATGGTTCATCATAGATTTTATGGTTAACATCTAAAATTGTTCATCCTACACTTAAATAGCTGCACAGAACGTAACTTCTGGGATATTATAAATTCCATGACTCTGAAATGTCTAATGGAAAAATAACATCATAACTTTTTCTTCCTAAACTAGTTATTTCCATTCTATTTCTCAAGGACAATTTCATTCTAGAGTAGCATATTTTATATTTGAAAGTCTTTTACTGACCACATCATACATATGGGGAACAGAGAGCTACCACAAATATATATGTATAATTTTTCATATTTTTCTCATGACCATAAGGCTCTAAGTGCTTAAAAAGTTTTGAATTGAATTACACGGTTGAGCAAAACAATCTAAATATATAACAAGTTTTGATAAATAATTATTAAAATAACCATAAAATGTTATCAGAAATGCAGCTCAATGAGATAGATGGGGGAGCTTATGATATTTTGATTACAGCAGGCTTTCTGGCCAGCAATATTTTGAACTATCCTTTTATTTTGTGTTCCAAAGTCTCCGTACCAAAGGCAATACACCATAGCTAGATTTGGGATGTGAGAGAGGAAGGCCTTCCTTTTTTAACACAGGAGGGGAATTAACGACCAGGAGGCAAGAGAGGGACCCACCTTAGTGCACATCCTCGGACAGACCAATTTCGGGCAAGAGCCGTATGAGGGTTCAGGATCTGGAGATTAATTCTATTAAACTATCAGTGTATCCTCTCCTTAGGATGTTGTTATGTGCCCCAAGGGGTACATAACAAGTGTAGCGCCACTAAGTGTAAACGGTCTCCAAACTGGCTATGCATTTGGCTTCATCTCACCCATGCTTTCCCTCACTCACTTGGTCATCTTTCTGTCCTTGAAACCTGTTAGCTCCATGTCAGGGCCTCCGGCCACACCCTTCCCTCTGTTGAAGAGGCACTTCCCTACACCTGGCCCCTCCCAGTGCCTGCCTTCCTCTCACCCTTCCCCAACCCCTCTGCATAATGTTCCAGTTGCCAGGACTGCATACCAAATTATCCCAAACTTATTCCAATATTCAAGACTTACTCCAAGTCCCCAAAATTATTATGCTCACATAGCTATAGGTCAGGAATTTGGACAGGGCCCCACAGGGATGGCTTGTCTCTTCTTCATGACTGCTGGGACCTCGGCTGGATGATCCAAGAGGCTAGCATCATCAAAAGGTTTCTCACCCACATGTCTGCCACTGCTGCTGACTGTTGGCGGGGCCTTGGTTCTTCTTGACACGGGCCTTTCTTTATTGTCTTTCCACATGAGCTAGTTCAGGCATTCTCATAGATTGGTGGCTGTGTTCCAAAAGTGAGTGTCCCAGTAGTCCCTCATTGATGCCACTTTTATGACCCAGCCTTGGAAGTCACACAGTGTCACCTCTGCTACACTCTGTGCATCCGGCTGTCACAAAGTCCTGCCTCAGTTTCAGAGGAGCAGAAGTAGTCTCTCCTGAAGGGGAGTGGCAAGATTCTGGAACACTTTGGGGCTTGCCGTGGCCATTTTTGGAAAATACAATCAGCCACATGTCATTAACTCTTACTCATCTTTCATATTTATGCTTAAAGGTCACCTCCTCCAAAAACTCTTCCCTAACCTGCCCCACCTCCAGACAGGTCAAGGGCCCTGTGTGGCTCTCAGAACCCCTACAGGGCTCATGGGACAACTGCTTTCATTACTGTCCCCCCACTAAAGCAGAAGCTCCATGAGGCAGAGACTCTGTCTTGCTCACTACTGTTTCCCGAGAACCAAGCGCAATGCCTAAAAGGCATGGATGCTCTTCATGCATCTTTTGCAAGAAGGAAGGAAGGAACCAAGGAAGGGCTATTGTTTCAGTTATACCCACAGTGACTATATCAGCACACGGGGTCCCAAGCCTCCAGGCGGCCATCCTCACCTGCCACGTGCACAGGTTTTACCCTGAAGTACAGATCACCTGGCTGGAGAAGAAGGAATGTTACAAGACTTGTGAGGCCCTCACCCCCACCAAGAACCCAGATGGCACATTCAGCCAAGACAGTCACATCCTGGTCAACACCTCAGAGGACAAAAGGCTGTTCACCTGTCAAGTGCGGCGTGAGGCCCAGACACTGGTCCAGGCCAGCATGCAGCTGAGCAAGTTTAGAGAAGGGCATGCACATTTGGGTGAGTAAGGGGTCGAATGAGCAAACAGCTAGGGACTGAAGCCTGGAGACAGACAGGCCAGGTTCCTGTGCTGTCTCTGCCATGTTCATCCTGGGTGACCTTGAGAAAGGCATTTTGTCTTTCTGAAACTCAGTTTTTTCATCTATGAAATGGGGCAGCAATCACAGCAGCCTCTTCAGGGTGTGATGCCTTAGGTACCAAATAGCAGTAAGCACTGCTTTCATCACACAGACACGCACCCATCTTACCAGATACTCCTGTGAACAACAAAGCTAATATGAAACGCCTTTTCCCATATCCCACCCATCTTCCCAAAAGCCATTCAGACTCACCAATTGCCAGGTACCTATTAGATACTTTGCTTGGAAGCTCCTGTTTGATACAAAAAAGCTCCCATTTTAACATTTAGGAATCTGAGACTCACAGAGGTGAGGTGACTCCCTCTAAGCCCAAAGTGTATCTTGGTACCTGAGTCTGGGGAGGGGCCAAGCCTGCCTGGGGGTTGAGTGATGCAAGCAGGAAGCCAGGTCATCCTGATAACTTTCTGTCACTAGGTGCCAGAGAATTCAGCTCCCTCTTTGGGCCCCTCATCCTGCTGGGCTGGAAGTTGTTTCCCCTGACTGCACTTCCCATCATCTACGTCTTCAGGAGGAGCATCCCTTCCAAGTAAGAGGAGACTCCAGAGAGGAGTTGGGCTTTCTGGGACTCCAGGCTGACAGGGAGCACTGTGTGGAGGAGCCCAGAGGAGCTCCCATTTCATCTCTGCCTGGAAGGCATATTGAATCCAGAGGGTCCCTAAGAGCTGCACCCCAATCCCCTCAGCCTTTCTCTGCTCTCACAGCTCCTGTCTGGGGATGCATGAAGATGCAGACACTCCGCTCTGGACAGTGGCAGCACTCAGGGAGGGAAAGAAGGAGGGAACTCATATGGGGAGAACTGCTGACATGCTCTCTGAGGAGAAGCCTGAGAGGAGCAAGGGCTTCGCCCCACCTCCCTATTTCTCCTGCAGCTCATGGGCACGCAAGACCCTCCTCAGTGACATAAGACCCTCAGTACCTTTCTTTCTTATTCAGGAGGACTGATCCAGGAGGGGCACCTGCCATGATGCCCGAAACCACTGTGAACACTTCTCCTGCCTCATCAGCCTTCTGAGGCCTGTCCAGCATGGGCTGACCCCTCCCTCTCCTGCAGCCCCCAGAGGAGGTGAGAGCCTGGCCCATGAAGGTCAGTGGTGAGAGGTGGGCTCTCACATCCTACGCAAGAGAGAAGCTCCTTGGGAGATTCTAGGCACCAAATCCGTGACCCTGAGCAAGAAAATCCATCACAGGCAGAACAGGCTCCCACCCTGGAGAATACACATTCTGGCAATCCAGAGGGATGCTTCCTGGCTCCTGAAGGAAAGCCCACTGTGGGCACCCCAACTGCCATCAAACCACTATAGCCAATCATTAAAAAGGGATTAAAGGAAACACTATGGCCAATAAGCATATGAAGAGACATCCAATCTCATTCGTAATCAAGAAACATCAAAGCAAAACCACACTGAGCTGCCATTTTGTTCCTATCCAAATAGAAAAGACAAAGCATCAGCTGACTCTTTCATACATTGCTGATGGCATGGAAATTGGCACAGCCACTTTGGAAAACAGCATAGAAAATCTTAAGTTGAACATTCACACACCCCGATAACCTGGCATTTCCACTCTTGGGTTATACCCAAAAGAAACCCTTGTACATGCCCACCAGGAGATGTGTGCAAACACATATATGGTACATGGTTTAAAATTAGTAAAACCTGACAACAATGCAAGCACTCGTCTACAGTATGATGGGCAAATAATTTAGTGCAATCACAGAATGGAATGTTATACAACAGTAAAAATGCATGAACTGCAGCTAAACACAATATATGGGTAAATCTTAGCAAAAAAATATTAGGGATAAGATATCATACAGCATGTTATTCTATTTATAAAGTTAAAAACAGTGAATAAATTGTTTTTAGGAATACATATAAATATGATAAGCCACTTTTTCAAAAAAGAACAATGCACCCAAGATTTTAAATAGTAGTTACCTGAGGGGGAGAAGAGGGGAATGAGAAGGGTGTGTACTTATAGGTAGACGGAAGTTAATTTTCAGGATTCTAGCTTCCATGCTGGGTGGTGGCTTCATGAATGTTTCTATCATTGTAAACAAAAAATAAATAGAATAACAATATAAGATTGATAAATAGGTATATGAGTAGATAGGTAGGTCGATGGATGGTGGGGAGTGGAGGAGGGAAGATGGGTGGATGGATGGAAGGATGGACAGGTAAACAGATTAATGAAAGAGGATCACACATGGGTCAATGACAAGGGTGTCATGAAGCAAGAATTATTTTAGGTACAATTCTAGTTACTTTATATCCAAAGGAAAAAAATAGGACTTTTTTTTCCCAAAAAAAGGACATTACCTAAAGAACCCCAAGTTCCCCTCCTGTTATGACATCCTAAGGTTTCCACATAGGAGGAAAACTATTCAACTACAACTAATAGCTGATGGGTGGCACATGACTCTGGCACTTATGTGCAGTATCTTATTTAATCCTCACTCCAATCCCACAAGGTGGGCACCATTCCCCATTTTCCAGGTGAGGGATCTGGTGGAGCCTATTCAGTGTTACTCAGATATCAGATGGCGGAGCCACAAAATCCAGCTTCAGTCCCAACTCTGCTCAGTGCTGCCCAAGGAGCCACACTGCCTACGGTTCTGTAGACACATGGGGAGATCTTGGCCCTCCTCATTCTACTGCTTCCTGATCTCTCCGGCCTGATGTTCTGCACGAATGCCCACTCCATGCCACAGAGTGGGGAGCAGAGGGAAAGAACACACATGCTTTTCCAAGTTCAAAAGGTGGTTCTGGATGTAGGGTTAGTCCTAAATCCCAAAACAGTCCTGGTAAAAATCTGGGAGGAGATAGTGTAGTCCAAGTTCTGGAGAAAGGCTCTCTATCAAAGGATAAACATACCCAGGGGATGTCGGGGTCAGAACAGCCACAACTGTATCCAAGAGGTGCCACTTTGGCATGTGGATTATTTCAAGCTGAAAACAATCAAGGCCCAAAAGACTCAGGAGGAGATGTCGACACCCTGCCCACCATCACCAACATCCTAAAGAATTTAGATAGAATACCTGGTCCAGAAAAAGGGCTATCCAGAGATACCTACATTATAATACAAACTAGGCATGATAGACAGGGAGGAACCTAGCAAGGCCTATTTGATCAAAGTCCTCTCTGTGTCCCATCATTTCTGGGTAGCTCAGCAACCATTTATTTACCAAACATTTACCCTTTTCCATCTTCTTGTCAATTGCCTTCCTTCCCTTTGAAGCCCCAGACCTCTACCCACTTGCCTTAGTCCAGAATAACAGAGAAGGTAGGAAGAAAGAAATAAGAATGTGTTAAGTATTCTGAAGAAAAAAGCGTTCACAGAATAATGCAGATTGCAATGATGGAGATACCCACAGGGATCTGGAATTAAGTGGCTGTGATCTAGAAAAAATAGGAGAGAAGGCCTTTCCAAAAAAGGGGATGGTTGAGCTGATATCTGAAAGTTGCAAGAGATTGGGAAAATAGGCTTGTTTCAGGGACCCCACTGTGCCAAGAAGTAAGGAATGAAGGAATCTGGAATGTTCAAGGAAGAGGCAGAGGCCAGTGGAGCTGGAATCTGAGACTAATGGGACATGAAACAACACTGCAGACCTGAGCAGGAGCCAAATCACACAGGGCTCTCGGCCAAGATAGAATGCTTGGATTGTACTCAAAGAATGGCCAGATGTACAAGTTTTAATCTACAGAATAAATTACAAGATCTGACTTACATTTTTAGAAGTCACCATGACTCCTGGGGGTGGGGGTGGGGGGGTAAATAGATTACAGGAAAGTAAGTAATTAGGGAATTCAGTTATGACGTTATTGCAGCAAGCCCAGGGGGCAATGAGGATGGCTTGAGCTATGGTGATGCCAGTGGAGAGGAAGAGAAATTGACTAATGTGAGGTGTACTTAAAGACAGATGTGAGGGGACATGCTTGAGAAGGGATTGAGGATGACTTCTGGCCAGATGAAGCAATGGGTGACATAGGGAAGACAGATGGAACAATAGCATTGGTGGTGGGAACCAAAGGTTCAGTTCTGAACCTGTAAAATGGAATGTTTATGGGTGCAGACGCTGAGTAGGCAGATGGACATACACATCAGGAGTTCAGGAGAGGGGTCAGAGCTGGAGAGATATTTATAGGGCCACTGGGTCTGCAAAACTGGTTGCCAAGGCAGCCAATCACCAAAGCCAAAATAGCCTTATTTTCCTTTTCTATCTTGTTGCCTCCCAAAGCCCTTGGATACAGTGCAGTCTCCAGGCTGTGGTGCAAAAAGGATACTTAGGTAGGCATAGATGAGAAGTAAAAGCAGAAAGACAAAATGTTCCATTTATCATCATGATAGGTGTATGTATTTTCCTTTTACATTTTCATATGATCCTGGCAGGAGTTGAGGACATCTCCCTTGTCACCTGTCCTCTATGGGTCTGGTGGTTCTCAGGAGTCCCACTAGACACTGGGGGAAGGACTGAAAAGAGAGTGACTTACAGGGAAAACATTCACAAGTGGGCAGTGAAACATCTGAGAGATGCTGAGACTCACATCCTGGCCAATCTGAACTGGAAAAGCTCTTGATACCATCTAGTCCAACCCCTCCTCCCCAACCCCAGTTTCCAAATGGGGAAGCTGTATCTTGGAGGAATCAGGTGACATGATCAAACTAATGCAACCTAACTTGATGCAATTCCCAGGCCACCACTGGGTGGGGGGTGGGGTATGCAAAATGTATTGCATCTTTACGTGATCTAACATAATTTCTAGTCATAGACTTAATTGTAGTCAATTCGAGATCCCTGCAGTCAATTCAGGGTCCCCCCACTCCATCCCTGGTGTATCCAGGGTGCCTTGGTGGTACTGACAAATGCAGGCATCTGCTAACATGTCCATCACCTTGTGCTGCCCTGAACTATATGGATCCACACAGGTGTCCCCAGAATTAAGTTCTTCCTGATCTCAGGGCTTCTCTACACCCACTCACTTTCAGCCCTTCTGACAACCTTATTGAGCACACTAGAAATCCTGGCTACTCTGGGATCGTAGGAAACTCCACTAGATGATCTGAGGTCCTCTCCACCTAATCAGAGCACATATCCAGCTCTGCTCTGTATTTGCTAACTCTGTGTCAGAGGTCTATGCATTCTGTATCAATATACTCAAAACCATTGAATGGTACACTTTATGTGCGAGAATATTATGCTAGGTTAATTCTGGATCAAAAAAGCTATAAAAGAGAAAAGATGAAGAAGCTATGGCAACATGGGGATATGTGTGTGTATTAAGTTATTTAGCTCTTAATAAGGATCAGCTTGACTTTGGGGAGGAGGAATGCATCCAACTACACAAAACACCAATGTTCTATGTGCTTTATTCCTACAGATTTCTAACACTCATCCATTATTAAAATATGGAAACAGAGAAAATAATTTCATGAAAGCCATTTGGAACCCTCATGTTTTCCCCCCCAAGTCCCTGAAGGACTTAATCTCAGGCTTGGTGGGAAGAAGTAAAAAAAAAGTCATGGAGAGGACAAGTGAAAGCAGTGGGGTATATGAACTGGTTCTCGGAACCTAGAGTTTCGAATCTCCCGCCAGTAGTTCCTAGGATGCTTTACTAATGGTAGGTATTAGACTCTTCCTTACAGAAGGTTTCCTACCAAATCCACTGTCTGCACAGAGGCAGTCAGCTAGTGGGATTTTCTTTTCCCCAGAGTCCTCCAGGGAACTCTTTCATATCTCACTGGTCAGAATTTCAGTGTGCGTCCCAGCCTCAACCAGTCACTAGCCAGGAGGTGGAAACTGACATGGTCCAGTGGGGATTCATCTCTTGGGTCTGGGGAAGAGTTCTTCTCCAAGGTACCCTGAAACCTTTTGCTGGACAGAATGGGGAATGGCGAGGGGAGGGTGTGGGTCTGTGAGCAAGGGAAGTGGGTGTTGAATCTAGTGAGGTGTGGAAAACTGCACCCTGCTAGGATGCAATGCCCCAGAGGTGACCTGGGGACAGGGTGCTGGGTGCATGCCAGATAAGATTTGCTTCCAGAACCAGAGTCCTTCTGGCCCAGGGGTGTGGTGGGGGCCACTGGACTATAGCTGCTCTCCAACCTGGGTGGGGGCAAGTGATCAGACTGGATTTAATCAGAGTTAGGAAAAGAAAAAGTTAAGTGACATGCTATTAATTACAAAGGGGAAAAATAACTTATGGTGAAAATGCTTGGTAGACACCATCTTAACCAAGTAGTCAAGAGAACATCCCCAGTAATGCAACAAATTGAAAGTGTGTGCTTCCAACTAGACTCAATGAGAAGAGCACAGCATCGCTTCTGGAGGTTTCTGCCAAAGGTGCAAAGCCTGACTCTGATCATGAGGAAGTGTCAGACTATCCACTCTGAGAGACATTCTGCAAAATAGTTGACCTGGGCATTTCAAAAGTGTCGCAGTCACAAAGTAAAGAGGATTTGTCCCATAGTAAAAGAAGCTAAAGGGACATGACAACTAAATGCAACCGGATCCTTTTTCTATTAAAGACATTTTGGCAAGACTTGTTGTGGGGTGCAGGTGGGGGGAGTCTGAAGGTAAGTTGATAGTAATGTGTCAGTGTTAACCTCCTGGTTTGGATGGTATTGTGGCCATGTAGGAAAAAATCCTTATTTATAAGAAATACACATGAAATACACATAAGTGTTTGGGGATGATAAAGCAATATGTCAGCAATTTATTCACAGATGTTTCTGAAAAACAAAGTTTGTTGTCCTATCTTGAAGATTTTCTTTAAGATTAAAATTATGTCCAATTTTTGAAAAAATTAGTGACATTCTGGTGGCACGGAGAAATGCACATCTTAGCACACCAGTCAGCAAGCATAGACTAAGCACTTACTATACGCTGGCCTCTCTTCTGAGTACTTTGCATTCATGAACTCACAACAACCAATGAGGTTTAGACTACAATTATCCTCATTTTGCAAATGAGGACACCGAGTCGCAGAAAGGTTCAGTATCAGCTCACACAGCTGGTAAGTGGCTGGCTGGGATTTGAAGCCATGCAGTCTGGTTTAAGCTCCCATGTCCTTAACCACCACATACTCTCCCGTGATGCTCTTTTCCAGCCCAGTTAGGTAA